TGTGATGTACACATTTGAGGCCCTCGTACGTAATGACATAAATGCAAACAAATCTACTTACTGCAGCACCAGCAAACTCTTATCCAAAGATGTGTCCAGTCTATATTGAATTTGCAGTGATCACTTTTTGTGAACTCGGTTACCTTTCATGATGTTGGGCATTCAGAGAAAGGATGTGCTTATGATCTGAAATATCTTTGGTTGTGCCTTTTTTTTGTCAGGCTATCACTTGTTTTGTAATCCTGGGCTACATACACAATGCATTTTCAAGGACTCCTATAAACTGTTTGGACCAGATCAAGGACCAGTGGCCCAGAGATGGAGTACTTAGAGTAGTCATATCACGAAATGCAGCTGTCAGCAGATTATCTGAAAATGATACTACAAGAACTAATTTCACTAATTCTGCTAACATAACAGAAAATATCCTTGTAAATATTAGTAATGTGGGAGCCAATCTTAAATCAGGAGAGAATTATTCATCATCTGTGGAAAATGTGTATGATCATTCATCTAATAATGTGCCACAGAATAACCATCTTCCTGTAAAGGATACTGTTGTGCCAAGTGCTTTTGAACTGTTAGCACCAATCAAGATCGAAGGTAGGCTGTAACTTAACATTTTGTGTGCTCAGTTTTCCAATAGGTAACCTTAATTTGTTTATCTTCTATATGCAACAATCAAGGAGGGAAGAAGTTAGTGATGTTGTCTTGTTAAGGCTTGTCATCATCAGCTGAGTACAACTTCCATAGAACTTCCATGTGTTGCCTTGAAAGCCTTCATAAAACGTCCTCTAAGGTTGCAACTAATATTGGATCATAAATTATTTTAAGTATATAATCTGATTGTTTTCTAGAGGAAAGAAAAGAAGAATATGCTGTTGAATATGCCTTGGAGTATGGTTTTCTTAGACTTTCCTCAGAATCCAGAAAGAAGCTGGGAATTCCTGTTTTGGTGGTTGAACTTGGTAAGTTAGAATCTCATGACTGAATATGGTTTAAATATTACGGGATAAAATTGTGAGATAATTGCATGTAACTATACATGTTCTGATTGAAAAAAATTAGCAATATCTTTTATGGCATAGTTAGATTTCTTTGTGGAGAAAGAATCCTCGCATTCTGTCTCGTAGCAGCCCACTGTACTTGTTGGTAATGCATTATGTGGCTTGTATGTTGTTAGACCCTGCAGTGGAGCAGTGTTTTGGAGATAGTTTGAGTCGTTTCTTGTTAGATGAATTCCTTGGATATGATGATGTGTTAATGTCAAGTGTCAAAAGACTGGCTGAGTATGAAGACAACAAAGGTGAGTAATGATTTTATTTTTCATTTTTTATTTTCTCACAGTAACTTACAATCATCTCAGCTTTAGAGAGGCTGCTTCAACGGTTAACCTATGGTTTTTTTATCTTATTTTTCCCTTCCATTTAATTGAGCTACATGTAACTGTGGGTTAGGTATGCAGACAAATTTACATTTTTCCTTCAGGTTCTTCATATGCAAAGATAATACCCCTCTAAACATAAGCTCCAATATGTATTTTATTTCAAGATAAATCAAGGACATATTAAACTTAATCCTGTGTTATTGTTAATCACCTTTTGAACAATCTGATGCAGAAAAGGATTTGTTATGCATGTATAATAAAAATGTGAAATAACAACAAATTTGTCTTTACTGATAGTCACTTATCCATACCCAACAGGTTATCTACGTAACGTTGTGACTGGGGATCATTTTCGCTTTGTCAGTATGTGGATGGCACGCACATCATACTTAGTGGCTCTTGTTCTTATGTTTATTTTTGTAAGTAATTTTGCTTGTTGCCTGTATCTTAATTAGTGTAGCTTTAAAAGATTAAAAAGTTGAATAGCCAATTTTGTCTGACAGCTACATGTACTTGTACATGAATAGATAATTAACTTGGTGTTGTGTTAAGGTTTAACTGTTGTGTTTGGGTTGATCAATTGCATCTCTACTTGAGAATTAGCCATTCAGACTTTTACCTTCTTGCTGTGGGATGTTCTCACTAGTGAGGTGCAGTAAACTCACTGACTCTTTATTGTATTTTCTTTTCAGACTATTTCAATTTCAATGCTTTTGAGGTATTGCCATCATCAAATCTTTGTTTTCATTGGTGAGTCCCTGGTTAAGTTGGAATATCTGATGGTTTATAATTGTGATCTTATCATCAATTATTGTTATATTGATGAGAGGTGTCAGGATTCAGCCTGTAGACTTTCATCATGGCCATGATCCTCACAGATTCTTGTGTTTGACACATAAAGCTTTCCTAGTACAAATCTGTAATTTTGTAAATGGCATAGACCTAGGTTTGGATGTATAGTAAAGGACAGGGATGTGAAAGAAATGATGCAATCCATGCATGTTTCAGTTTTGGCACCAAGCAGACTTGTTTGGTTCAGTTTTAGTCATACTAAATTGTTGATTTTCTGGTTCACTCAAGTGAATTTGCTTCAGATGTTGGATTTAAATGTGACAATAGCATTCCCTGCAGCACCTTTGTTCACAGTCATTCTCTCTCTTGTGGGTAGGTAACTTATGTTGTATATGTACATAGTCTTGGTGCTCATATGCGAAGTTACCTTTTATACCAAATCAAAATACTTTTTATTGTAGACACACTCTAGTTATCACTGTTATAAAAAAATTTGATTTAGCTTAATGTAAATTAGGCTGACTGTGTGCTTAGCCCTGTATGTAGGTAAGTGATATATTGATTCTTCGTAGGCTTATAATTAAATTTGTGGAGGTAACAGATCTGACAGCTAAGTTTGTAAAAGGTGTAGAGTGTTGACATTAAAAAGAGCAAGTCACAAAAGTTATTGTTTGCCCTTGTGGACCACAGATGTAAACAGGGTAACCCATTTTCCTTCTACCAGTTCTGCCACTGGTTTGTCTTCTGGCAGTTGGGGATTTGAAAATTAGCCAGATTAGCTTAGAGCACTCTCAATAAAACATTTACAATTCTTTCATACAGGAATGGAAGCTATCATGTCAGAGTTTTTCAATGACACTACAACAAGCTTTTACATCATTCTGATAGTATGGACCGCTGATCAATATGATGCCATTTGTTGTCATACTCAACAGAGTAAAAAGTTCTGGCTAAGGTAGGTACAAGTGATGCTCTATAGTTAATGAAGTGAGTGTTCCTCTTTACCATCATGTTAAACTATTCCATCGTTTGTTCTACCTTAGGTTCTTCTATTTGTATCATTTTGCATTTTATGCATATCATTACCGTTTTAATGGTCAGTATAGTGGACTTGCCCTCGTTACTTCATGGTTATTTATTCAGGTATGGTAAACTTGCTAATACTCACCACTAAGCTGTTACCAGTAGTAATTAACTTGCATAACATATCCTAACGTAATTCTTTATAAAAATCCCCTGATGAGTGAGTAATCATGAAACAGGCTTGTAGGAGTGAAAGTATAGTCTCTTTGTTTTTTCTAAATCTAATATATATCATGCTCTACTTCTATTTATCGAGCACTGTACTTAGGAAAAATCGAAACCCAGAGTTCCTATATATATATATATATATATTGTATATCAACTCCTTACTAATGTCTGTTTTGAAAAATACTTTAAAAAGAGGTAGGTTACTGTGCTTGTGTAGGAGATATTATGGACCACACATACCCCATTTATGCTTAAAATGTCACTAATCAAATGTCATTTTTTTTATTCTGAGTACATTTTGCTGTAGTACTTGCAAGAAACTTTAAAGAACTCAATAGACAGAAAGTCTCAAACATAGGACAATTTGATATATAATTTGTGGAAATATCATGCAATTTCAAATGACATCAA